CTAGTGCATTCTTCTTTCTCATTCCATTCAAAGACATAGCCCTGTTAGTCTGGGCAATCAGTTTGCCAAAGGATCCTGTTAGGACAATGGTTCCCAAACTTTGGTCTCCAGATCTTTGGACTTCAGCTCTTACAATTCTTGACTACTGGTCAAGCTTTCTATGGCTTCTGGGATTTGAGGTCCCAAAACCAGGAGTTCCAAAATTTAGGAATCCCCTTTGAGCGTAGCTGAAAAAAAGAAATTGGGAGCATGGGTTTTTGTAGACCTGAGCATCCTTCCTTAGACGTAGATGGAGTATGGAGAGTCCAGAGGCAGAACTTGGGTCTTGGACAAATGCTAAGTTCAAGAAGGGCCTTACAGTCTGTCTCTGGATTCTCCCCTCCACCTCCTGCATCTGAGGAAGGAGGCTCAAGACTATGAAAACCCATGCTCCCAACTTCTTTTTTTTCAGTCACTCACATATTCCAACCAGAGTATTGCAGGATTCCAAGTTTCAGAGTCAAAGCATCTGTTCACCAGGGACACTTTTGAGCCAAAAGATTAGAAGCTAAACCACACACCTACCAATATGTGTGTGTGTTCTTTGCCTGGCTTCAAGTAGAGTCCAAACTAACCTTTCACAGGATTTCTTGGCAAGTTTCTTCAGAGAGAGGTTTGTCATGGCCATCCTCTGAGGCTGAGAGTATGTGACTTACCCAAGGTCACCCAGTGGGTTTTCATACCTTTTCAAACATGAGTGCTAATCAAATAACTGTTGTGTCCACCATTTCCACACAACTTTCTTTGCTCTATGTTGGCAAAGGGACATCTGGTATCTTTCGAAACCAAATTTAGCCAAGTTGCTGATCCCTGCTGTAAGGATTACTGAGAAATCAAGCATATATGTGTGTGTGTGTGTGTGTGTGTATAGTGCATTTAGAAGAAATTGATGTATGAATATTATTTATTTTAAGCATTTCACCATGTTCATCGACCAGAAAGTCTCCCAGAGGATTTTGCAAAAAACTGATAACAAATAAGATGGTTCCTGCTCTTAGCCTTACAGTAAAAAAGATACAACACATAAGGAAAATATGGAGAGGGAAGAGGCAATTAAGCAAACAATCACCAGTTCTTAAAAGCTGCAACGTTATTATAATGAGAAGTCAAGGGAGAAGGCACTATGTAAAGTGAGAAAGTAACAGAGAAACAAGGCCTTAAAAGTACCAGAGTTTATTAAACCAGTGGTTTATTAAACTCCCTAGAGTTTCAGAAATGCAGTCATTGCTTACCATCTGTAGATCTGAGCATCCGCGGATGGCCCCACCCCATTCACGCCAGTGGCAGCACATGCACACAGTTGTGCCAGCATGGTCACAGACATGGCGCTACACACCGCTAATAGGAACAACTTGAGGTCCTGCATTTTTTAGTATCCACAGGGAGATCTGGAACAGAACCCCCACAGATATGAAGGGCCAACTGTAGATCCTTTCCTTTTGGAAGGGAGAGTGCAATCAGAGAGAATAGACCTAGGCCTCATCTGCACTGCAGAAATAATGCAGTTTTACGCTGTTTTTACTGCCATGACCCAAAGTGATGGAATTCTGGGAATTGTAGTTTGTTGTGGCACTAGAAGTCACTCACAGAGAAGGCTAAATGTCTCACAAAACTACAGTTCCCTGCATTCCATAGCATTGAACCATGGCAAT